TATAGTTCAATAAAATGAAGCTCAGAATCTATAAAGAGGTAAAACAGTGCAGTTCGATAAGAGAAAATTCAGGAAAATGATTCTTACGATAGGGATATTCATGAAGGTGTCCACATTTGCAGACGCACTTACTCGTGTCACAGACATGATCTCTTCTCTGCACTTAGGAATATTTTTGTTTTAATTTAAGATGGACGTGTTCAGATATGTGTTCAGATCGCCATAATATAATCACCATAAAATCCTGATAAAAACTAGTAGCTTCTCAGAGGAGCTTAAAGTCCTCCACGGATCCTGTATGGCCCAGAAAAAGGTCCTCTCGAGACGAGTCCATCGGTGCCTTATTACTGCGAATCGGTTCGGTAGCTTCTGTTCTCGGGCGAATTGTGCGCTCGATCTCCAGAACGAGATGGCACTATTGTGCTTCATAATGAAAAGGGGACACTTGGTACCCCGGGGGACTCGGGGTTTCGCTGTCATATTGAAATTATTCCGCTGGGAATGAGTTCATATCATGGCTCCTTGGGAAAGGCCAATTCGTCTTGGACGTGTGGGTGGTGCGGAGATAAGAGAGGTTTCGGATGGACAATAGGTTGCAGGAGATTGGCTGTTCGGCTTCTCCGGAAATTGAATTACATCTCACCGAGGATCAAAAGGGGACTGACATCAAATACTTCATCCGCACTTTTTTCGGATCGAGCACTCAGAGCTGAATGACTGTTCCCGCAGATAATGTTCTCTCGGGACAAGGGAATGAATCTTTTCGGTGAATGGGACGTGCGCTATATGTATAAGAAGTGTTGAGAGCCCAGGAGAGGAAGCAGTCTCCGAGCGGAGAGAGCGAGGAGAAAGAAAGCTGGGGAATGACTTCGCCTGCGAGAGACTTAGAATTTGTGACAGTTATTGGATTCTCCACTCCTCGAAAAAGCCTCTCGAAAAATAGGCTGAGCCTGGCCGAAACTGCTAAGCAGGAGGTAATCGTTCCCAGACCGTGGACATCATCGAGAGATTTGACCAGGGAGGGCTTGAGTTGGAGGTCAGATATAGGGGAGAAGAACGAGACCAGATATCTAAACAAAAGCGTTAATTTGGGGGAATAATTTATGAAGGGAGAAGGAAAGAAGCATTGCTGGGGTAAGGCTGAAGACGCTCTGTGGCGGAAGCGCGAAGAAGAAAAAAGGGCAAGTTTTCCAGCCCATTTCATCACTCCCTCCATCAATCAATCCTGAGCTCCAGCTTTCTCAGCCGAAGCTTTCGTGTGAGACATGATACTTTCCCATCGAGAGTAGATTTCCCTGTCGAGTGAGAGGGACTCATCGTAAGAAGGAATGCGGAGAAATAGGAGGCAGGCCTTGGAGCGAGCACCTTTTGAGACTTTTAATACTGACTACGCGGAGGGAATCCATTATGGCCTTGTAATGGGATCTCCTCCTCGGCTTGGAATCCCATTCTGTGTGAACGTGTGCGGCATCTCCAACCCAGCTTATCGACTCAGGTGAGAGAAAGAGAGAAGAGTGTGCGAGAGAGGAAAAGAGGAATAAGCTTCTCTCCTGACACCCTCACGAACGCACTCACCGAGAGTTCATCGTCTTCAACTGCTAGATGGAGCAGGAAGGATGAGAGGTAATAGTGAGAAAGAGAGAAAGAGAGAGAGAGAGAGGGGGTGGGAAAGGGGGAAGAGGAAAGAGATCGATGCAGATTGAATGCTAGGAGTTGTGAGAGCTCGCCATGTGGACCCTATGATATGGCCTATGATATCTCAATCAAATGTATAGTCCTCGAGCAATGTAAACAGTGTCATTGGTCCGTCACTTCCTCTCCCAACACCCCAGTGCCCATCCGCAAAGACAAGAAAAAGGGTCGTTCCTTGGTCTGGTGTGTCTCAGAGTCGACGATCAATCCAACTTGGAAGTAAGCTTGTCCGCCAGACTGGAAAAAAAATTTACGGACATGCTTTTCTTTGCTGTTGCCAGGATAAAAGCGCTGGGAATCTTGCATGTCGTAGATGAAACCTTGAAATTTAGGGATGGACTCCATCCCAATTCGAAGGGAGAATAAAATCTCAAAGGGGCGGCGTGGATTTTGATCCGTGGGAACTCATTAACGAGTGCATTCGTGCATGCCTCAAGGTTTTCCCTTTGATCTCCCAGCTGAATAACATGAAAGTGACCTAAAAGGTTTGATGAAAGGGCAAAGGTTCGATCCACTCTCTATAGGATGACTCTACAGAATTTCGCCTAAAACCCTTGTGTGATTGAACAGGGCCTCCTGGGGGAGGAAAGAGAGAAAATGCGTAGGAGCTCATAGAGGAATTTCCGAAGACTTGAGCAGTACATAATGTATATTGTAGCTCTCTACTCCTTGGGTTACGCTGGGCTAGGGATTTCAGGTGCGCGGGAGTTATTGATTGGGAAACGCTGTGACTCTGAACGACCTTAGATCTTTGCCCTTGAGGGAAATTGATGGTCCCACTGCAACATAGCCACACCATCTCGCTTCTACAACTCAAGAGCCTTTTTCCCTCCCACACCTGCTGCCTGTGCTTCGATAGAAGAGAGAGATAGAAAGAGGCAATGAGCTTTGAAAATTAGGTTGCTTCTAACATGGACTGCATGAGGAGAGAATTCCCGCCAGTCTGGAAGGGCTTCTTCAACGAATGCAAGGAGCCCACGAGGAGAATGCCCAAAAAGGTTCACATTTAAAGGAAAGTGAGTCACTTCGAGCCGGTACGGATCATAATGATCATTTATTGTCTCTCCTTTCCTTTTCGGTTCGTTTACTGCGAATAGTCCACTTCTTCTTCCTCGACCTCTCTAAGCCACGATAATTCATACAATTCATGAGTCCAACAAGTTAGACCAACACTGTCGAAGTCTGCGGAGATTGCTATCCTTTCCCAATTGGCTCCCTGTGGGCGATAAAAGCAGGTTTGTTCCCACAATCTTTCAAGGTCCGAAGATATTTTCTACAGGTTCTCTGCGTCTTCCACGCGAGACCCCCTTTTTTGTGCCCCATCCCCACTGGCCAAATGAACTGTATTGTTCCACCGTTGGCGGAAAGGGAGTGGAAATGAACCACTTTCGAAAGGGACAAGAGTTATTCGGGGTAGCAGCTGTGCCAAATGCTTGGATGGTTAGGTTTAAACCTTGAAAGACATCTTTCACCCAAAGACAGGCAGAATGGTGGTGCTGAACGCCACAAGCATACAATATCCCTTCGGGAGGTTCCGCAGGTAACCAGCCACATGAACTGCTGGAGGCGTCAACGTAGAGACTCAAACGGCTACGGAGTGAGCCACAGTTCGGTGCTTCACGCAGGGCATGAAGTGACGCATGGAAGAAGTGGTTCGAAAACGCGGATGAGTTTTTGCATTGGGCTCTCTACAGGTTACAAATCACCGTCCATAAGACAGAAATAAGGCCGTAAGGCGCATACGTGGAGTTTTGAATTTCTTCACCGCGTACCAATCCACCTATTTTCGTCTCGAGAGTGGAATTTTGCTAGCGAGGCGAACTCCCATGTATCAAGGATCGGCTTTCGTATATTCCCTATGACCTACCTCGTGACGTCTAACCACCCTGCAGTGCTTGGAGTGATCGGTTCGGTAGCTTTTCCTCTAGACAGAGCACAATGGGACATAATCATAGACAAACAAGTATAGTAGCCTGCTAGCGGCTAATCATGTGAAGAAGAGGAAAGATTCTTTCATGCTTCCTGAAGTGGAAGAAAACGTTCGCGGCTTGGAACAAAAATAGCACGGGAAATGCTGCAGGAGAAAAGTTTGTGGAATTGCAAATGACTTTCTTCTTCGTTAGGCAGGCCAAATCTTCTCAGATTGTATTACCGAGGAAAATGTCCTCTTTCTCCTCGTCTCCGTAGCTCTCGTGGCATCGTGAACGATTCCAGGAACGATTCCGAACCCATGGACGATGAATAAAGCGACACGGTTTCCCTGTCCAATCTTGCTATCGGTCGATCGGTCCTTCGACGTCCTCGCGCGTAACGTTCACAAAACGATCATCTTTTCGCGATGGAACGCGAACGACTCCAAGAAATGATACAGAAAGAAATGCGAAGACAGAGAAGAGGGGGGGAGTCGGAACGGAGCGGCTCTGTTTATCAAGTGGATCGATACTTGTAGAATTTACATGGCGGACGGCCGTACCACGGGCTGGATTGCCCATTAACACCTCATGTCAGGAGGGAAATCGAGTTGAAGAAGTCTCGCGGCAACGCGCAATTCTTGCAAGGCATTTTCGGAGGAAAAGTGGAAGAAGCAGAAAATGCTCGAGGGAAATGCAGTCCAGCGTCGGGGTTTTGTTAGGAAATTGTTTTTCCTGAAATCCCCTTGGGCTCTTTTCCTTTCCCCGTTCAATATCCCATCATTGAACCGAAATCACCCTCTCCCTTTGTACTCTTTTTCTGCCTTTGAAATCATGAAGGGCTCGCCCATTCATTCCGAGATTTCTTCATTCCCCCCCCCCTCTCTCTCTCGTAAAATATTCATGGCACTGTTAATTTTCGCCTCATCCATTATTAGCGAGAGGGAAGAGGAGACAATGGGGATGCGAAGATGCTTGACCTCAAGCCTCATGTCGGGTCGTGAAGGGCATGCAACTTTCAACGAGAATTTTCTCCAATGAAAGGAATCTAATTTCCGATGGAGGAAGAAGTTTGAAGCCCGTCAAGGGCCGAGGGGAGAGAAATTTCCATTCCTCAACCCTGCGTTCGTCTTTTTCTTTCGCCATCGCTCTAAATGAGATCACTTCATGGGATGATAGTCACGGGATCGAAAACGAGATTAAAGGAGACAGTACGTCGCTGGAACTGTAATTTGTTGGAAGCCGTTGGCAGGCCAGGTCACGTTTCTCCTCGGGATACACTTGAAGCCCGTCTTCTTCTCTTTTCTCTTCCAGAGAGCGAAGACGATAGCGAAAACGCCGGCGTCGCCTCTCCGGGCCCGAAGCCCCAGGGCCTCTCGTCGACCATTCAGAACGCAGCCATGAAGGGTCGCTCGTTGCACAAGATGAAACGGGAGCATAAGGCGGCCAAGACCCTGGGGATCATCATGAGTGCTTTCATCATCTGCTGGCTCCCGTTCTTCACCTGGTACGTGACGATGTCCCTGTGCGGCGTGGAGCACTGCCAGTGCCCCGACATCGTCGTCGACGTCCTCTTCTGGATCGGCTACTTCAATTCCACTCTCAACCCCATCATCTACGCTTATTTCAACGTGGATTTCCGGCAGGCCTTCAAAAGGACTCTGGAGGACGTTTTCTGTTCCACGTGCTGTAAGGCAAGATTCAGCTGTCGGGATCCCTACGAAGTTTCCGCCGGTGGCGGCCCTCATCCCCTGGGAAGGAGACGGAGTTCTTCGTGCGAGAATCCAGCCAAATTTTCCCGAAAAACCAGCTTCATAGACATGAAAGAATTCTTGTCCGTTCACAACGGACTGAGCAGTAAAAAGAACTCTCCGTTGGGCGAGAAGCCGCCGACTCCATCTCAAGATCCGGAATCCCAGAATGCGGCGGCCTCCACCTCTCTATGATCTCCCGGCGATTTTCTCTCCCTCTCTCGCGTTCATTTCGATGCTGCCCTTTTTGGTCGCCCTTACTCTCCTGTTGATTAGATTCGGATCTCAGAGTCGCCGACGTGCCGACCCTTTATGATTGATGTCTTCTCAAGTGCAAGCGTTGTCGTATCCATCCTGCGTTCCCTACCCCCCCCCCCATTCTTTCTCTGCAGGACGAAAGACGGAAGATAGTATCGCTCTGCCCGATGGCATCCATCGTCACGTTCAAGTCTCTACGAACACATGTGATAACACGATTTTATGCATACCTCATCAAGCGGTGGTGATGAGGGGTTTCCCTACAAATGTGATAGAGACGATGCATTAGTTCTTGTTGTCTCGTACGTGAATGACTGCATCGAGTGATTGGGAATAGTAACACGTCGGAGATTCCCGCTTTTGGGAATCTCTCATCGACATTCCCCCATCTGGCCGGGTCACCCTGATCTCGCCGCTCTCCCTCCTCCCTCCTCCATCCTCCCTCTTCCCTCTTCCCTCCTCCCTCTTCCCTCTTCCCTCCTCCCTCTTCCCTCTTCCCTCTTTCCTTGCCCCTTCAATGTATTTTTTTCTCTCTCGAAGTTGTACGGTTTACAGGCGTTCTTGCAAACTACGACTGCAGGGTCTTTTTATTCTCACGCTTCTAACCCTCTTCTAGGACAATCGCATGTATTCCCGATCGGAAATCGATACGGAAATGCCATGGATTCCCTCTCAGCTACACCCGAATAGACCTAATCCAGTTATGGATAAGCGGCTTCTCTCAGATGGCATAAAAGTTGCGGATTTCCCTCTTTCGCTCTACGCAGAGAGCCGAGTCTCGAAACTCGTCCCAAAATCAAAATCCCGGTGCTTTCTTTCCCCCCTCGAAAATACTCTCGTCCCTCGAAGCTTCGTCTCAGGATGATTTTATTCCGGTCGCATTCTTTTTCCCATCTCGTATTTTTTTCCGTTCTCGGCGGCAGGCTCCGCAATGAAATGGAGTCTCGATTTCCATTCATTCGGTGTAGATCTACTACAGATGCACAACAGCTTCTCGCATGCAGGTTAGTCGCGTGGAAACACGATAAGCGCCTCGAACGGCTCATTGCTCTTTTCATTTCTGCAACAGGAAATATTGGCATTAAACCGGAGAGGAGATTATTGCTCATCGAAGACGACTCCAGCTTTAATCCCAAATCAAACTCGCGAGAGAGAGAGAGAGAGTGCACTCGGAAAATCTTTCCTACTTATTATTTTAGATAGATGGAAGTTGCAGAGGTCCCTCTGATTCGCAGACCGTCGCGTGATATCCAAGAAGAAAGAATCCAAGGGCATCGAAGCAATATTTTAGTCATCGTGGAGACTCCGGAAAAGGCATGTTCTTGCTCAAACGACGTACGGAGATCCTGATCGTGCGTGCATGGATGTGCTCGTGTTGTCTTGTCACTTCACACAGAGTTTCGACGTCAATCGGCACGATACGCTTAAAAAAAATAACTCAATAGGACGATTATGAGAGCCCTCTTATGTAAATGAGTGTCCCCATGTGCGCGTCTCTGGAAGAGTGTCGTGTTATGTTCAAATCGAAATAAAGTGTGATCCTCCCGTTCTAGCCTCTCACGTCTGACAGCGAGATCTCGCGAAGACCTCGAAGAACGGGCTACTTTTTTCCCCAAAGGCTGCTTAAGTTTCGATTCTGTTTGAAAACGAATTTTTTAAATTTTATTTCTGGAGATGATGAGTCCATCTCAGTACTTTAAACGAACCTAGGGGGAGGGAAAGACCGCAGCTCTGCCATTCATCCCCAGGGAAACAGGAATGTGCATAAGGTATGTCACGGAAGTCGTTAGTTCTCTCGGAAGGTAATGAAGCTCATCTGGGAAGGAATGGATTTCTCCTTCTCGGAGGGGAAAGAGTAAACGGTCTCACGCCAGCTCAGGTAAATGAACCTCTTTCCCTTCCCCTTGGGAACGTCTAGCATCTTCATCATCAATCGCAACGCGGTTTTTTTTCGATGGCCATGCAAGGAAGCGAGCAGTAAATCATCATCATCAACAGGATCCCTGCAACATGCATTTCTCACCTACGGGGCTTCGAGAAGCAAGTGTTTCGACCTTCGACTCATCTGGCATTCCAAGGTCTCGGCCCGGATGCGAAAAGGAAGCCAAAATCGTAATAAAAAAAAAACGTAAAAAGTAGAGCGAAAGTCGCGAGGAATCACGCTTGTAATAACAAAGAAACAAAACTTTGGGAAGCCGAAAGAAACATCCAACGGATGGATTCACTCGGTAATTTAATTCCTGGAAAAATGTTTCTTTCCCCGAGACGTCGAAAAGCAACCGAGTCTCGCCTCGCATTCTCCCTCGTGCACTGCTCGCGTCTCCGTGGCATCCCCGATCAAGCCTGACACGAGGGGGTGGGGCATTTTCCTGCATCGCGATAGTCTCGAGAGGAAGAGAGGCGAGGAAGAGAAAAATCTCTGAGAGATGCCCCTGCCTTCTTTTCAAGGGCTCAAACGCGGGAACTTCTCCCATCGTTTAAAAGGATTGGGTGTTTCTATGCGCATTTACTTGATGCTTTCGCAAGCGATTCTTGAGCTTCGGTATTTTTATTTTGTCCTCGCTCTTAGGGTCTTCATCCCACGCGACCCCTATTCGGTTTTCCAAGTAACGATTTTAGTTTTCTAACCCTTTTCTCCCCTGAAAATCCGCTCCAGCTTGTTGTTGCACATGGTCACCATAGGACGAGAAAGCTTCAGTGCTTCACGGACGAGTCCATCCCTGCCTCACTCGTTCAAATCGTTTCGGTACTCCACGGGAAGAAGCTGCTTAGCGATGTCAGTTCGAGGAAATGGGGACACGAGACCGACGAAGGGGCCACCGTGAACGATAACGAATTCAGCATGCAGCCTGCTCGTCGACCTAGGTTCGATGAGCTTTGCCACGAGGGACACATTTGATTTTGCAATCGTAAGTACTTTCCAATGCTTTTTGCACGACAAAAACGACTTTTTGCTCCAGTACTTCAACATCCGACGTGCGTTCTTTTATTCCAAGGCACCTTTTCTCCCCACATGCTTCTCAGACGCGATGAGAAGGAAAGGATCATCTCAGAGATATCCGATCGCAAGTCTTCCCAGATGAATGGAGCAAATTGGTTGCTAATCGGGATGCATGAAATGTAATCCAAGCGTCATCATCGTAGGGTTTCCTTTCACAAACTTGGGGCGCTCGTTATCGGCTTCATCTAGAGCCTGGGGAAAGGGAGAAGGGAGAAGGGAGAAGGGAGAAAGGAGAAGAACGCAGGGAAGGCTTTCACTCGTTCCTTCACTTCCGTTGCAGGCAATGATGCCTGCGAATGCTCGGACTTTGAACTTAGGCTCGGAAGCCTCGTCCCTCAGAAGGAACAAAGAGGGAGTAGGAGAGGGAGGGGAGGGGGAGGGGGAGGGAGGGAGGGAGGATGTCGAGATAGGGAAAAGAGAAACAGTTCTGGCAGCCTTGAAATTGCCTCGGAAAAGGGGACTCAAACTTAATCACCTGCCCCTTGAAATGTGCCATTCTCATCGTTCTGCAATTTGGCCTCTTCGTAAAATATTTCAGACGATATGAGCTTCCCATGCATGGCTCGTCCCCGACCCGTCCGTGTGCCTTTAGCTAGATGAATGGCAAGACGGCAAGAAGATGACGATAATGCATCGAAAGAATCAGACTATTCTTGGCTTGCGAGATTCCACTTCCGAATCTTCAAATATTCAGGCACGGGAACGACGGAGTGTACAGAGGCTGCCAATGTAAATTTTTCTCTGGGAACGCTTAGACATACCCCTGGCAGGGCCTTTCCCCTTCTCTGTCCCTTCCCCTCGTGCTCAAACGCATTTTTTATTCATGGACGAGTGAGTACGCTTGTGAGAATAAATCCTTTGTTACTAACTGAGTCACATGTTAAGAGTGCCGTGGGCCTTGAGCCTCCTGAAATCTCAAACAGATCCATTCAGATCTATTCAATCCGAAATAACGACACTGCGAAGCGAACGAGTGGGATTTTTTTTTTTAATGGGGGAATACAGTTCGTAATTCCTCGTATTGCTCCAACTGAGATTAATGCAGGAAAAATCTGATTCTGAAAAATCGGATCACTTGCCGGGTGCTGATCATGTATTGATGGTTCCTTTTGAGTCATCGGCATTTAAAATGGCACGGTCTTCCATTTTTTTGCAGCAGTATTTGTGAGGAATGGTGTTTTCTTTTTTAGGACGGGTCTTAGGTCTTAGGGTCAAGGGAGCTGCGTGATTTTTTTCTCCATCACGCAAAATGGCATTCATGGTGTCCGTATCCGTTCGCACTTTCACGGTTCCCGGAAGATTTTGACTGCCATTCGGGGTAATGCGGGCACCTCTTATCAGGTTAATGCGAACAATCCAACTTTTTTTTTCAGATGCCAATAAAGTTTCGCGAACAGATTGGAAAGCATGCGAGGCCTGCGAGAATTATGCTTGGGTCGCCGAGCGGCATTGCTCCAACAGCTGGGACCGTGAATTGTTTTGGAATTTTTTTCTTTTTCCCCCTTTAACTGTGGGGAACCCAATCGCATAGTTTTCAGTTGGATTCTTCTCTTTCGAAATTCAGGAACTCACTTGATTTCACCGTTTGCTCATATCAGCCAGTTGACTGCCCGTTTTACCGGCGCAATCGGGGGGAAAATGAGTGGGTTCACCTTTCCATCTTTTCCTTTCATCGTCGAAACCGAAATTCATTTCAGGACGCTTTCTTGACCCATCAGATTTGTTCACATGCCACGCCAGCCACAAACCAGTTAACGCTAGGACTACCGAGAAGTCATTTTGGCTGTTCGCTGTTTCTGACTGCACTTCACTCTGCTCGTTTAGCAACTAAGGGCCCCAAGCAGTACTTTTCTTACCTAATATCGACATTTTGAACGTTTAACATTCTGAACATATCAAATAACGCCTGGGAAAAAAAAAATGTTACAGAGTA